TAAGCACATGCCTTTAGTCCCAGCACTTGGGAGGCAGAAGCAGAGGATCTCTGAGTTCAAGACCAGTCTGACTTACAGAGTGAGTGTCAGAACATTCAGGGCTAGAAAGAGAAACTGTCTTGAAAAACAAACAAACAAACAAATAAATGAGTGATATAAGCAAGCATATTTTTCCAGGGTAGCAAGGGCTACAGAGAGAAACCGTGTCTCAGGGGGTGGGGAAGAGGGAGAGGGAAGATGATTAATCAGTAAAATTACTAACAAATGGAAGTGATCCAATCATTTCCAAGTCTAATCTATCTAACAGAATAGTTTTCCTAGTAACTTAAATAAAATATTGCTTAGATTTACCAAACTTAAAAAAAATCAAAGGGTAACAAGTACAAATAATGAAATTAATCTTGGGTGATGAGATTAGAGCTTCCCACTCTGTGTGAGGAGACACAGCACAGCACGTTACCATTTCTCATAAGGCCATCCTCATATACTGGACACACTCCATAGTACAGAAGTGGCTCCTTAGCAGCTGTCATTCCAGCTTGGTGGTTGTCATTCCTGGCAGAGGCACTGAAGGATATTGGGTGGGACTTGGATGTTACAGCTTCATCCTCTGGAGGGTTCAAGCCCACATTGTAACCAAAATCTTTGTCTTCAGAACAACTGGCTTGCTGAGTTTGTTTCCCTTCCACAGATGCAGGAGTCCTTAGGGTGCCCTGGATAAATGGAGTGGTAGTCACCTCACTGTGATTGGGAAGACAGGAAGTCAGCAATCCACCTTGCTCTAGTAAAGCCTGAGCTAATTTCTTCTCAAAAATAAATCTTGTTGTTGATGTAATGGGTCCACATTTCAATCCAGCTTTTATAACTTCCTTTCTAAGGTCATCTGGATTCAGGAGTTTCAATCGTGCCAACATGGCATCCATTGTCACTTCACCTATGTTCAAAAAAGCAAAAATTAAATTGAACCATGGAATTGTAGCTGACGTAAACCACATGCTTAAGCAAGTGCCAGTTTCCTCACAGGACCTTAGATACAATTAGTATTCTTATTCTAAACCTATTGTTTTTACCTTTAGTTGTTCAAGGAAGGTTTTGTCTCTGCAATTTAACAAACATAAACAGAACTTCATACATTACTTACTTCAATCCTAGGTTAATTATTGAAACTCTAAGCCTCAGTTTCCTCACCTAAAAAATGGATATAATAATAGATCCACTCAGGTAATAATGAAAAGTAAATAAAATAATGAACATAAATTCTCTACCACTGGGTCTGACACTGATAACATATCCATAAATGTCTGCTACAGCTACTGAGTTGTTGAGGAACACAGGCTCATTAATCTTTAGAATGAGTAAGCACTGAAAAGTCAACTAAAATTAAAAACAAAATACTCTCATACACTCAAGGGCAGCCACCTATGACACATGGAGAAGCCACCGCTAGTTGGGTAGTGGTGGCACAAGCCTTTAATCCCAGCACTCAGGAGGCAGAGAAAAGGAAGATCTCTGTGAGTTTGAGGCCAGCCTAGTCTACAGACTGAGTTCCAGGACAGGCCCCAAAAGCTACAGAGAAACCGTCTTGAAAAGCCAAAACAAAACAAAACAAAAAACACAAATACTCTCAAAGAGCCTCTATCAACAAGACAGGTGATGTTCATAATGTACCAACTGCACTAGAACTGGAAGTATTAGCACAACCTTTGCAGGCTTAGAAAGATGGCTAGATTGACAGACATGAAAAATTGAAGTAGGTCTGCAGATTAGACAATAGTATTCTGTCACTGTTAATTTCCTTGCTATACTTGTGGTATGATTATGTAGCAAAGAAAATCTAAAGACTAAGGCAATAGTATACAGAACTCTTTTATCTTTTTATTTTGAAATGATTTGTAGACTCAAAAACTGCAAACTCTGTAAGAGTTCCAATGGGACCACCATACAGCTTCCCCTAAATGTTGGCACTTTTTATGATAGTACATCATCAAAAACAGGAAACTGACCTCATAGAACAATTCAGTGAACAGACTTGGACTTTGCAAATCTATGTAGCTTCTATTCTTTCTTGAGTCTTGGTGGACAAGTTTGTGGCAGCATACCACATCTAATGTATCCATCTATCCATCCATCCATCCATCCATCTACCTACCTATCATCTATCATCTATCTATAGTGTATGTGACAGAGACAATAAAATTTCAAAGACAGATATGCTGGCGTATTCTCGTAATTCTAGCACTTACGGCTAAGGCAGGAAGATCACCAGTTTAAGGCCAGCCTAAGCTACATAGCAAAACCATTACACAAATAAGTTTCATTTCTCTAGGACAAAAGCTTATGAGTGCAGGATAAACAGGCTTAACTTCTTTGAAAAATTGCTAGACTAATCTCCAGAGGGACTACACAGTTAACAGACCCACCAACAATGCAGGACAGCCATCTTTTCAGTGTTTGTCAACTTTAGAGAATGCAGAATTATAAATTGTAGTTAATCTAATTGGTACACACTGATACTTCACTTTAAGTTGACCATGTTTTCCCTACCAGCTTGTAATGTAAAATATCTTTGTACATGAGTTGAACTCTTCTGTATTGTTTTATAATTCTTTGTACACCTAAGATGATTTTCAAAATGAAAAACTAAAACTGAAAATAAATTTTTAATGAAACAAGATGCTGCAAACCCCGGTGTTTTGGCTCTATACCCTGCTAGCCACATTAGCCACATGCATTTCTCTGCTTCAGTGTCTGGATGATTTTACTCACTGACCTTCTCTTGAGTTTTTGGTACAATGTTCACAGAGTCAATGGACTAGTTGACATTATACTTATTAAAGATGCCCTTATTGCTTTAATTGTTCCTATAAATGCACATATAGGTGTATGTACATACATGCAGAAGTTAGAGAATAGCCTCAAGTGTTATTCTTTAGGTGCCACTTAATTTTATTTATTTATTTGTTTGTTTTTCAAGACAGGGTTTCTCTGTGTAACAGCTCTGGCTATCCTGGAACTCATTCTGTAGACCAAGTTGGCCCTGAACTCAGAGAAATCCACCTGCCTCTGCCTCCTGAGTGCTGGGATTAAAGGTGTGCCACCACATCCAGCTCAGGCGCCAATTTCTTAAGGGAACAAGAGAATGTAAAACCCAAAAGACAAGGTGTTAGACTTGTTGTCACAACACATACATTTTATCTCTCACAGCTGTGAACAATAATCAGCACGATCTTGACCTTCCTGTTCCTGCTTCTTAGCAAAAATGGAGAAATCAATGACTACTAAGAAAGGGTTGAGATGTACTTCAGTGGTAGAACACTTGCCAATATACACCAGGCTTTTTGTTTTCTTTCCCGCACTGCTAAATAAATAAAAAATGAAGTTGTATATAAGTTCAAAAAGGCAAGTGAAGCCTCAGTTACTCCTAAGATCTTCTTAGGGTTCTACTGTGCAATCAACTGTTTAAAATGTCATCTTCCTTCTAGAATTCGTGGGGGAATTACTATTTATTCTCCACTAAGAACTAGACTCAAGTGTTAATGAAACACAGCTTCTGATAAACACAAAATGAACACATGCTGATAAACACAAATCGGTTAAGCATCGGGAGTTCAGGGAGGTGAAGGGCTGAGAAAAAAGACCACAGGATCCTACAAAACTGCCAACCTTAGAGTGTACGGAGTCTTTTGAAGACTCCGGGTTTTATCCCAGCTCTTTTCCCAGAACTGAGACATGCACCACCTCAGCAGCTCTCAGATGGATGATGCCAGTAGGTAGTAGGGCTCAATTTCCAGCAATGAGTGTATTACTCTCAAAAAACAAAACAAAACAAAACAGTAAGAACTATTATTATCCGTATGCTGCTAATGGTGGGGCTGAAAAATAGCGGGTAAATGACCTGCCCATTTCTGAGAAGTTCCATAGCAGCAGTGGCAGAGTCAGAAGCAGATGGGGAATGATTTCATTCCAGACACCAGTCACCTCGATCTTAAAGTGACCAGCAACTATCCTCCCATGTCTCCTCATCCAGACCTAACAGTCAGTCCATTCGAAAGAAATTAATGAGAGCCATATTCCTTTATTTCCCCTGTCCCCAAATCCGGCAGTCACACCTAACTTCACTATCTCATCCTATCACTTATTTCGTTAAACTTCAAACCACTGCCAGAACTAATTTCCTCTTTCTTCGACTTCCAACTTTCACCAGTGTTCTTTACTGTTCACCCTTCCCGCAGCCCTTGCCAGGCCTCCCTGGCTAAGAAGGCTCAGAAGACACGCCCTGGCAGCCGGGTCTCCCAAGGATCTCACCCACACTGTCAGGAATGCTCCTATAATGGAACAAAAGTTCCGCTTCTCACTCAGCCTTCCCGCCAGAGGACTCGGGTCCTACTGTGTCCACGGGGAGGGCAGAGTGAAACTTGCTCCCACTGCCTAAATGCGACCTTACCTGGCTGATTGGCCATAGCTGCAGACGCGCCGGTCGGCGAGGAGGGTATCCCGCGACGACTCAGGTCCTGCGGCCGCTTCACTAGCCGCCGGACCAGCCAGCGCACGGCGATGAGCAGCACCGAGGCGCCGAGGAGCTCCCAGGCCAACGCCGCCCACTCAACCACAGCCAACCGCTGCCACAGCATCGCCACCGTCGACGTCGCGGCCTTGAGCGCGGCCGCCGGAGTTAGAATCCGCGCTGCGCACGCCTCAGGCCCTCACTAGGCCACTAGGTTCGCTGCCGGAGCCGCGCGGGCCGCTAGGTTCGCTGCCTCCGCCCCGCCGTGGGGTTACAGGTGTCGTAGTCAGACAGGAAAAGATGAGGCGGGGTGCGAGTGCAGTCTGGTGTCTTTGGTTTCCCGATAGTCAGAACGCCGCCAGGAACCCAGTCTCAGGCGGCTTCGGAGGCAACTGGGGTCCTGATTCAAGAGAGACGCTATCCGGCAGTGGCGCGGACAGCATGTCGGGGTCCTGAGACGGACTCGGCGCTCTGGCTGGGCGCAGTTTGCTTTCCCAAGCTGTGGGCGGTTGGCCTTGAGTTGCTTTTTCGCCACGAGTTTAAACACTGGGGAGCGAAGAGCTGGCACCTGGGCCACCCAGACTGTGGCCAGAGGAGCCGGTCAGACAGGTAGGTACTGGGGTCCAAAACCCTGGTCTGTAGCTCTGGGGTTGTAAATGAAGCTGTGTCTCTGGAGCAACAGACCATCCCCACAAAATGCCCGTACCGTTCTGACACGCTAAAGCCTCCCCAGCACTGGGATTAAAGATATGCGCCACCATGCCCGGCTGCTAATCTCCAATCCTTTTCTAACCTTTTTTTTTTCTTCTTTTGAGCCTTGCTATATACTCCAGTATGGCCTCATACTGGAAATCTTCCTGCTTGAGCCTATAGAATGTTGCGATTACAAGCATATGTCACCATAATTTCACTTCTGACTACAAATCACGAGGGCACCGAATACGATGACATCCCGTGTTGGTGTAGCGGCTCCTCACACGTATTTTGAGCGTTCTTCAGCAAGAAAGGTGTAAGTTGCTTGTTTGGGGAATTAGAAGAAGGCAGAGTGGAGGGGCGAGGCAGGAATGCCTTTTCTGTCCAAATGTGCACCCTGCTTTCCAGCCAATGAGGTCTTGACGGTAAAACCAATTCTCAATATCAGAAAATGGTGGCCTGAGGAATGCCCTAGAAAGGTTTGAGTGAAGGCCAGCAGGTTATGATGCAGAATCGATTTACAAGCTGGCCAAACTTCGGATGTACACCATTCAGGTCATGTCTTCAGTTAAAGATATTACTCCTCAAGACAGAGGGAAGTAGGGAAGCCTACTGAACTAAATACAAAACAAAAACCCAACCACATGACTGAGAAATGCTGAAATGAATTTCCAATGGTTTTTACAGCCCCAGGATTTATAAGGCAAATTTAGATATGTTCAATTAAGCAGGACGTGGTGGTGCACATCTTAAATCCCATCACTTGGGAGGCAGAAGCAAGCAGATATCAGACTTCAAGGCCACCCTGGTCTACAGAGTGAGTTCAAGGACATCCAGGACTACACAGAGAAACCCTGTCTCAGAAAAAATAAAAATAAACGAAAAATTCAATTTAATTGTAGGGTGAGGGAGATGAGTTAAGTAGTATTATTCCTTCAAGGAACAGGCCCGGGGAATATGTCCTAGAACAGTGGAGACCAACTTTTGATGTTTTGTTTTTTTGCTTGATTATTGTGTTTATTTAAAAAGACTGTTGTTTACTAAGACTGTTAGAAGCTTTGTATAGTAGCTAACACATTTACTTAAAACTAAGATCAGCCTGTCTCTAAAAACCAAAGACTTACCAGAAGTATACTGTACTTGTGGAGATCTAGCCATATATTAAGATAGATACAGATGGTCTCATAGAAAACAGCCTATGGCAGAGAATTCAGTAGAAAAAATTGGGAACAACAGCGAGGAGCATGTTGTTATATGTAGAGACATGCTAGTTCCATATAACTAAGCTGGGAAAGCAGCAGGTCAGGAATTCCGGGTTAAGGATTATAGCTAGGCCAACAACAGGCTGGCCCAGCAGGTTGAGGAAGGTCTGGATTTATTTTCAGAATGATGAGGCATTAAGTGTTGAGAAGTAGATTTTGATGTGTCTGATGGAGGTAGTGCAGTTATACAAAGGTGGACAAAGGGTAGAGGAATGAATATTTAGTGCTCAGAAAACTTCATGTGAGGTGAGGTGTGTAAGTCAAGGCTGCCACTCCATAGTTAAACTACTATAGTATATTCATATAGAAGACATGACTATTTTATTATCCTGACCCAGATTATATGTAAGCAAATCTACAAAACACCTCCTGCAGATACCTACCTAAAAGGGGGATAAAATATGTTTATCCATGACTCTATCCAGAGAGCTGCCCCCATCCTAGGAGCAGCTGGAGCTCCAACTCCAGGGAAGAATAAGCACTTCCTTAATCTGGGCTGCCCAAACTGCAGCCTAGTAGGTGCCATCTTCACATTTAACTAGTTCAACTATGGAAAAACACAAAAGGCTTGTGAAGGTGGCATGAGTGACTGTTCTCTGAACCACTATTTTTGTGAGTTAGGCTGTGCCCTTTGTAAAAGGATTTTATCTCAGCTGGGTTTCCTGTCTGTTTATATCCTCTCATGAAAAGTTGCTTTCTACCATCTGTTGTATTTGGAGAGGCTAGAGTGTAAAGCTAGGGAAGACTAGGAGGGGTGCTCTATCTATGTATGCTATTACAGGGAAGTCTTCATCCTTTCAGGGTAAAGGCTTTCCAGGTTTACCCACATTCCTGTAAGTACCCCCTCACCTGTACTCTGTAAAGAAAAGAATCTCAGTAAACTCACTGGTTCCCCAGAATGAACTTACATTGTTGTTTACATCTTCCCAGGAAGAAACTTTAGCAACAGGTTACCATCTAGTGTGTTTTGGGAGCCACATTCAAAGTATCTATTTTAAGGGCCATGAGGACAGAGATGCAGGTTATATAAAGGTAGACAAAGAGTAGTAAATGGCACAGAGTCTTCCATATTTAGGCTTGGGGACTCTCTGAGACTATCATGGTTACCCACTGTGGTAGTTTGAATGAGAATGGCCCCCACAGACTTAGACTCATAAGGAGTGGCATTACTGGAGGTGTGACCTTGTTGGAGGAAGTATGTCACGGGGTGGGCTCTGAGGTTTCAGATGCTCAAGCCAGGCCCAGTGTCATTCTGTTTCTGCTGCCTGCTGATCCAGATGTAGCTACCTCTCTAGAACCATATCTGCCTGTGTGCTGCCATGCTTCTCACCATGTCTTTTTATTTTATTATCTATTTATCTATCTGTTTATTTATTTATTTGGGTTTTTAGAGACAGAGTTTCTTAGTGGTTTTGGAGCCTGTCCTAGAACTAGCTCTTGTAGACTAGACTGGCCTCGAACTCACAGAGATCCATCTACCTCTGCCTCCCAAGTGCTGGATTAAAGGCATGTGCCAACACTGCCCAGCTTTTTTTTTTTTTTTTTTTTTTTTGAAAAATAAGAATTTGCTGTGGTCATGGTGTCACTTTACAGCAATATAAATCCAAACTAAGGCACCCATCATGGATGGCAGGGGTGTTAAATAACCCATTTTATAGTTCCCTCATAACGTGCTTCGTAATACTGCATGAGCTGTCAGGCTTCTGAGTACCTTAGTGACTTAAATACTGAGCTTCCCAAATCCTTCTCCTTTTCCATCTTGATTTAAACTGTGTGGCTTATTAATAACATTGGGCTGAAATAGGCCAGGATAATGCAGTGATCAAAAAATAAATAAATAAATAAGTAAAAAAGAGTGACTAAAACAGACAAGTTGTTTGAGGTATGAAAATTAACCCAGCAGAGACTAGTCAGATGAAGAGCACAGAGTAGACGGGCCTTCCTCTGCTCCCTCACACGCTTTTGCATGTGTGCTGCTCCCTCATGGTGATGGATGCAGCCCAATGAAGGCCAGCATGCTACTTCTGCTGGTCTAACACAGCAAGGAGTAAATCTTTCTACTCTACTTTAAACTTTGGTAGAACATATTACCTTTTAAAATGTTGTGAAACAACAGGAGATTAAAAAAAGCTACTCCCAAATATGACAAAATGCTAGTACTAACAATGAAGCCCTCCCAAGTGAAATGTGAAAACCTTTACCAAAAATAGTTTATTGCATAAAATGTAAGAAATTCCCGAGCACACTTATATTAAAAAAAAAAAAGAAGCACAACAACAACAACAAAAAACCCCAAACCAACATGCCTTTTAAAGTTACAGTCTGTTACCTATGATGACAGTTTTCCCTGGAAAAGCCCAAACATGAGAAGATTGACTCTCTTGTGAGGTAATTTTTTATAGAAATGAGAAACTCAAAAACCACTGAAATTTTGGACCCTCTAAACTGGATCTTGATAGAACCTAAGACTACTATAGAATAGATTTGGCTAAAATTCCAAACCACTGAGCATGTTAGGGTAAGACTCAGGACATCTCATACCATTCTTATCACTGAGGTCCTTGGAAGTCTCTAAGACTTTTTTCTTTTTAAATATGATGTTTACTTTCACTCCCAGAATCTTCACTTGTTACTTTTTGTTTCAAGATATATGAAAGTATATGTCATGGTGATCCTATAGGCCTAATGGCTTTTACAATATCCACACACTGGGACAAGTTACAATTTGAAATGGAGAAAGAATTTAACATAAGCTTTCTGATACATACACTAAGATTACTTTATGAGAGGGCAGGTCCCTGTACCCCAAACCCAAGTAAACTCACATCTTCCCAAAATCATTTCCTGTTACACAGTATAAAATACTAAGATCATGGCACCAATCTGACGAGTACTATTAAAAAAAAAAATGAAAATCTCTTGGCAATATTTTTTGAACATAAGAGAAATAAGTAATATTATAAAGCATGCAAGCCAAGATGTCAGCTATAAGACATATAGTATATGTGATATATGCATAAATGTTATGCAGTGGTAAGCCTGCTTTAGAAAGCAATCCTCCAAGTGTCTGCAGTTTTTCATGAGTAAACCTAAAATTCCCAGTTTTAACTACACAGGCAACAGTAACTCAAGCTGTTTATTTACCCAAGAAGAAACTCTGGGAGATAAAACACAGTGAAGTCCCTTGAAAATAAGAGGAAAAAAAGCAAAACCGACCAACCAATCAAAACATTCCTAGCAAATTTGAAAACTCAACTTCAAGGTGACTGACTACAGGAACCCTAAGACAATGCCAGCTCCAATCTAAGAGACCTCTGAACCATAAATGTGAGGAAAAGCTACACTGATGCATAAAGATGGACAAAAAATGGAGCCAAGACATGCCAGACCTTTCATGGAACCAAGAGGGACCTGACCAAGGACCTGCAAAGTAGACAACAAAGCCTACAGGAAGTGCCATTTCTGAGGATGTACATGGGACATCAAAACAGTGGAAGAAGTAGGTTAAGACATGAAAGCAACTTTCACTTGAATGAGTTCAGAATTGGCATATCCTTTCCTCATGACTCTTCTTAAAGACCTCTCCATACAGGAGAAAATAACTATGCTGTAGAGTAAGCCCAACCCAAGTACTATTTCTTGGTTTTGAAATTTAAAATACAAAATAAATAAAAATGTAAATTACCACCCTTTCCTAATTGCTAACTTAAAGAGGGTATTTTATATATAATGTTTTCAAGCTTTTTTTTATTTTTATTTTTTAAAGATTAACCCTGTACAAATTCTATATACATTGTAAAAGGTACAATACTTGTTAGGGAATATTTTTCAAACACCAGACATCATTGTGATTAGTTCTACTTTAATCATACTAATTAATCTCCTAATAGGATATTACAACAGAACAACTCATTCTCCACAAATTAGACAAGAAACCCAATAAGAGACACCTACGTGGGCTGATCACAAATGCTCAGAACTTCCTTTTTCAGACTTCTCTCTCTCTTCCAACTTAATATTTCAGATCATTTTTTTTTTGTTCCATCTTTGGTTTCATGTAACTGAGCTTCAAACTTGCCTATGTAGCTGAAAACTGGTCTTGAACTGATCCTTCTCCTGATTATACCTCTACCTCCCAAGTGATTACAGTCATGAATTACAAAACCCACTTTATTTTAAACTTTCTTCATGGGCTTTCACAAAGATTAAAGACTTCAACACTTCTAGTCAGTATACCAAGTATATGATTTGGGAAGCAGATGGCAATAAATCACATATTTAGTGCCGACTTTAAACAAGGTTTCTGTCTCTGAACCTCCTGTCTTTCAGACCACAGCTGCCCACCTTCTCCCAGATATTATTCTGATTCCTAGTAATACCAGTGTTTAATAGAAGTCCAGGGTAGTTCCTAATGACCATACTGACAGATATTCACAGTGCCCCATTAATACCATCTTTGGGGCGCAATGGATACAGCCTATAACCCACACACAGACCAAGGTTGCCTTGTCTCCTGTTCTTTTCCTGTGCTCACTAAATGCCAAATCAGTATGAGGAGACCTTGGAGATCTTTCATCTCCTGCTAACTCAAGACCTGACTGGCTTTGCCTGTTGGTAAGCCAAAGTGAGTGGAACCACAGACCTGAGAGGTCAGTGTTAAGAATTCATAGAGATGTTGGCAGGAAAGACCCCTAGAAATAAAAAGATTAAAACAATTCTTTCTGTGCAAGAGTATTTGGTTTTAGGATGCATAGAAAATAAGTTATATTTCTTAAAATACATTTTTTTTTTTACTGACATCCCTAAAGCTACATGTATACTGCTTCTCAATATTAAATTTTCAAAAGGCAATCAGTAAGACAATTAGGTCTTTAAATAAATAGGCATATGCCTTTTTAAAGACTTTCAATATTTACATATACATCCTTTATAGGTAGGATGGTTTGAAAAACAAATGAAATAAAAACAAAAGGTTCAAATAAAAATTAATTTTTGTAGGAAAGTAAAGGTCTTAATGAGTGAAACAGTAAAGACCTCTAGGTACTGGTGCCTATTGAACCCACTCTGTATATAGTGCCTGATAAGAACAGGTTCCTGGCAACACCCTTAAGTGTGTCTATAGCCTTCCTTCTGCAAGTAACTGTTCAAACAGACATTCAGATCTCACCAGTGATCCAAACTCTGAGGTCTTTAAGACTTGATCATTTCACACGGGAAAAGCTAGTTGTTTAAAATGATTTTCTTTAATCCTTGCCTCATTGTTATTTTAATCCTTGATAAAATGCAAAGGGGAATTTAAATCTCATCTCTTAAAAAAAAACCACCAGAGCACACAATCAAATTAATATCGACAAAAGAATATTCCTTCAGCAGGCACAAATACGTGGTGATGAGAACAAGTAGTCATTGGCCCAGCCCTTCTCTGGGAACATTGTTTTGACTCTGTGGTTTTGTGTCTCCCTTGGGATGGGCATGCTCTGCTGGGGTAGCTTCCACCTGAGCCCACGAGGACAGAGACTCATGCACAGTGATGGTATGCTCCTCCATCTGGCGCTGCAGACTGTCCATTTCCTGCCTGGGGAGATGAGAGAAGGCAGAAGAAGAAACTCTAAGTCATACAAGGACCACTAGCTACAGTTGGCTTTACCACACATGTGGTTCCCTTAAAGTCCAATCAACAAAATCATCTGGAGTCAAAGAAGGCAAAAGCTCCTGGCATCCCCCCACCTCTCTAGGCATAAGCCAGCAAACACTATAACATAGGTTTCTGTTCCCTTTTTTTCCCCCACCCCCTGGTTTCTGTTTTCTGAGAGGTGCTTCTATGAGAAACATGAGAAAGACATGGAACCCTGATGCTAATCAAGTTGCTATCTAGAAGCCATCATGTAAGGCCACTGTCACTTATGATTTCCCATTATAAAATCACCTGCCTGTTAGGGTCCTATGTGCTATATACAACCCATGATGCTGGTCTTTTCTGTCCTAAGTTAGGAGGCTCAGCCTATAGGGTACAGGTGTAGCTCCTGACCTTTTAAGGGCCCACCAAAATAGTTTTCTTAGCTATTTTCACTTTACAACATGGACCCATGAAGCTCTGCCAGTAAAAAGCTCTTTTACTTCACAAGAGCTTCAAAGAGATAGGCACTCTATAAACAACAGGAAAAACACGTCATGTCTAAAGGCTGAACAACATGGGGCATAGAAAACTTCATACTTGAGCTGCTGCAAACAGCTGTTGAGATTCTTGAGGGGTTCCTTGCTCACAGCAGGTGGCGGCCTCAGCAGTTCCTCTATCAATGAGGCTGGAACAGGACAGTCTGGTATCTTGATGGGTGTTGCAGGGCTGGAGGAGTTGGACTCACCTTTTGGTTCTTTCTTCTATTTGTAAAAGCACATCATTAGCCCCTCTACAGCCCTTCCTTATTCTTCACCACAACAACTAACCTCCCCCGAGCCATGTCCCTCTGCTGAAAAGAGGACTAACTGCTAAATTTTTATAAAGAGAGTCTGACAGTAAATGGGTTAAGAAATACTAGCTGGTCCAGTAATCCTAATGCACATAAGTACAAACCTTTGTGCCAACCCTGAGGAGAAATAACTAAATACCGCATTAGAGCTCTCTTGTAGGAGTTTCCTAAAATACAAGCCTATACTTTGAGCTAACCTAAGAAATTAGGCAGTATTTATGTAGATTGTGCCAAAAAAAGCAAAGAAAGTCTGCCAGGTATTTGAACCCTCCAGGAGAACTGACAATAGCATGAGGCTCCCACCAGAGCCCATCCTGAAGCTACCTGTGTTCTATGATGGCAGCATAGCAAGGCTGTATGTTCATTAGTTTAAAATAGTATTAAAACAAGATATGTATATTCAAGAAGAGAAATATTCTGTTGGAAAAAACACCAAAATAAAATGTTTTGGCTCACTTTCCAAGCAGACTTCTCTAATGTATTAGTTGATCTGTGAATGACTAGAAAACCTGTCAATCTCCTGCCCAAAAAATTTAAATGAAATAAACAGTGAATCTGTAAGGGATGTAACCTAATCCTACCTTGGCTGCACCACGGCGAAGATCCAGCTTGAGCTGTTGGTTCTGCTGCAGAAGAGTTTTCATGTTGTTCTTCAGTTCAGACACTTTTGCTTGAAGCATAAACTTATCCTTCTGGGTCTCAGACAGATCTTCCTGTACCATTTCCAACTCAGATTTGATAGTCTAAGGAAAATGATCAGATTCTTTTTTTTTTTTTTAAAGCTGGCATAGTGAGTGGCACATGCTAATAACCCCAGCCCTGGTGAGGCTCAGGAGGCTCAACACCAGATTTAGCCACATAGCAAGTGTGGGTCAGCTTGGGCTACATAAGAGCCTATCTCAAAAAGCAAGCATCTTAGCCTGGCGGTGGTGGTGCATGCTTTTAATCCCAGCACTCTGGATGCAGAGGCAGACTGATCTCTAAATTCAAGGTCAGCCTGGTCTATAGAGTTGAGTTCCAGGACAGCCAAGGCTACATGGAGAAACCTTGTCTCAAAAAACAAGCAAAATAAAAACAAAAATCTTAAAACACACTTTAAGATGTTAATTTGTCAGTTTTGAGGACTTAGTTTTTGTTAGGATGAGTTATGTTTTCATCTCAGCAATTTTCTCTATAGTTAACCTAGCCACCAACAAATTCATTAGAAGCAAACTCTTGACTTTAAAAGATAATTATTCTATTCTTAATTATGTGTGTCTGTGGGTTATGTGCACATGAGCGCAGGTGCCTATGGAAGCCAGAGGAAAGAGCTGGATTTGCTGGAGCTAGAGTTATATTTGGTTGTGAACTGCCCCATGTGGTGCTGGAAACTGAATTGAGTCCTCTGGAAAAATAAAAAAAGCTTTCAATTGCTGAGCCGTCTCTCTAGTTTCAACTCCTAACATTATTTTTAGATTGACTGATTGATTTATATATGAGTGCTTGCTTATGTGTGCTTATGCGAACATGTAAGAGCCTTCAGAGGTCAAAAGAGGGTGTTGACCTTTCTGGAATTGCAATTCTAAGACGTTGTGAGCTGCTTTGTGAGTGCTGGGAACCAAATCCAGGTCCTCAGCAAGAGCAGTAAATGATGCTGAGCATTCAATACTCCTGACACTTAACATAGAGCCTTTTCCAAGCAGCAATATCTGCATGGCCAAAGTTAACCCCAAGGATCTTTAAATTCTAAAGTTCACTATTAGACTAAGTCAAACCATTCCTAAGAAATAGTATAAGCCAGTCTAATAATTTGAGCCTTTTTTGGGGGCGGGGGCTTCTTTATGTAGCCCTGGCTGTCCTGGAACTTACTCTGTGGATCAGGCTATCCTCAAACTCAGTAAGTCCACCTCTCCCCTCTCCCTCTCAAGTGCTGGGATTAAAGGTGTGTAGGTGTGTGCTTTTCTTTCTTTCTTTCTTTTTTTTTTTTTTTTTGTTTTTTTTTTTACAAGTAAGTAATATTAGCAAGTTATGTTTCTGGTCCTTTCCCTCAGCAGAAAAGACTATTCATTTGAGCCTTCGTGGAGAAGTTGATCATAAACACATTGCATATGGCCAGAGCATGTTTCTGGTACACTTCATGCAGTTTAACAGAGGAATAGTGCTTGGGTTTGTCTCAGTTTCTTGTCCATCCATCTGTGTAAACTGAACCAGATAGTCACGCTGAACCTCATTCTTTTTTTTGAGACGGCGTTTCCGTCCTGGAACTAGCTCTTGAAGATCAGGCTGGCCTCGAACTTACAGAGCTTCACCTGCCTCTGCCTCCTGAGTGCTAGGATTAAAGGCATGCGACACCACCACCCGGCTGAACCTCATTCTAAAACGGAGACAGTGTCTTCAGATCACTGAGGTGAGGTGGGGGAGCCAGGAGGGTGATTCGATTCAATGAGAACCCCTTCCATCCAGATCCAGGGCTTGGGATAAGGATAGCACCAACCTGGAATGTCTGTTGTGTACTCTCTAGTTCTTTCTTGCCATGTTGTTCTGTCAAGTCAAGCTGCTGCTTCAGGGACTGAATTTCTCGTTCTTTCTGATTCAATTCCCATTTGAGATCTTCCATCTAAAAGAAGGCAGCACATGGCTAACACAGTTTTAAAATAATGCCTTATACTGTAAAACAGTTCTAAGGAATTTCTACCATCTTTTAGTATTACATTTATAAAAAAAATATAATTTCTGTCTGAACAGACAGAGCAGCAAGGACCTAGCTGTCACCTCTTGGCTCCCTGTGGGCTGCTGGTTCATCTGTTCATCCAGCTGCTTCTGTAGGAGCTGGAGCTGGGTTCTAGCTTCTGCAAGCTCAGTCTGGAATTGTGCTATTTCTTGAGAATGCTTTCCCTCTTGAATCCTGGCATTTAAACAAACAAAAAGGTTAAAAATAAAATGACAAAATTCTCTTAGCTTGTCCCCAAGGCTGTCCATGGTGAAAACCCTTTACCACTGGCTGTAGACAGTGTAGAGTACTTCCAATGTTCTACCTCCACTAACCCTACAAAGAAAGTCCTTTGTACTCTGGGAGACAGAGTTTATTCACAAAACTCAGAAACTTCCATACCACAACAAACAGAGACCTCTGGGGCTGCTATAGAGGTGTGTTGTGTATAGTCCTAGGTTTATCCTGCCCCCTTTTACATGTCTAAGCCCTAGGTTTACTCTGCCCCTTTTTACATGTCTGAGTTGATGTTAGCATTAGTGTGAAGCTACAAGGAATTTCTGAATATTCAGGATATCCCTGGATTGGGTGCTCAAATTGGGGTTCTTTGTATTCTAGGAAGAAGTCAAGGAAGAGCTGGGTTAAGGTTAAGTTCAGGTTTTCTGAAACAGTCAGACAGATAACTCTGTTATTTTGACTTGTCCCTAAAGTACTTGGCTCCTTAGGGAAAGACATGACTCGTTCTGTGAGATTCAAAATGAATTAAAGATGAAAGAAAACCCCAGAGCTGAAAGAAAACCCCAGTAGCTCTGAAGTGCTACATGGAAAATGGTCATTGAGGACACAGCCCTGGGATGTCCTTGTGCAAGCAGCAGGTACTCACTGAAGCTCATCCACTTCAGCTTGCAATGTCTGTACCATATGTTCCTTCGCCTGCAGTTCCTTCTTCACCTCACTCAGCTCCAATGTAGCTGCCTTAAAGTGACGGCGGTTGTGTCCAGCTTCTACCCTGGCTGCAGCCATCTAGAAGAAAGTGAGAAGTTGACATTATTAAGTGTGATGGAATACCAAGCCCCTATATCAAACCAACATGGAACTGGTCTGTTGTGTATTTTCCTCTCAAGGCTAACCAAAATAAACTCAATGG